CTACACTGTGTTTATGTTAATGTCATAGTAATAGTCAATAGTAATTGATTTCAAGAGCTATAAACATTAGCGGCAGAGTTGAACAAACAACTACCCAAGATGAACAAACAATGAACCCAATGAATTTTAAATGCATAGGTTATTTGTGAATACGTTTTCCATTATTCAACCAGTTCCATGAATGATTGAATAGTATTTCAGCAAGTAACATGTTCAGCTAATTTTTTCAGTCAATTGAATATCTTAATTTTTTTAGCTTTAAATGGAGAAAATATGTCATTTTAGAGATGGATGAGATCTCATATCAACAGGCAAGAGCATAACTCATGGAGAAAGGAGAATGCATATGCATTAAAACAGGAGGTAAGAATTAATATTATTGAGTTATTTTAGTGATCACATTTTTCTAGAAGATAAACATTACAGAATAAAGAGAAAGAGGTTAAAAAGGGATTTCATGTACACTATATAGTTCAATACAATATTTTACTCCCCATTGTTTATAATAATGCACCCTCTCAAAACTTCTAAAAGAAAATTTCCACTATACTGATTTTGTCCATGCCAACCTACTAACCTGTAGTCATTTTGTGAGTGTCTCCTTGGAAGTTGGAGGAGAGAAGACCAACAAAGGAAAAGAACCAGAGGGAAGGAAGAGGAGGAAATAGTAGAAGAGCCAAGGGAAAGAGAAAGATGGATGGGAAGACCCAGAGGAATGGGAATGGTGATTGAAGAATGTAAATGGTTGGTGGATGAGTGGAATGGGTCAGAGAGGGGAAGTGAGGAAAAATGGACAGAAAGAAAAAACACAAAAGTAACAATGAGATGGAGGGAAAAAGGCAAGAACAGAAAGTGAAAAACAAACAGAAAACATACAATGAAAGAGTAGACTTTAGTGAAAAATTAATTGGAGGGAACACATTAAAATAGGTAACAAGATTCAGGTATTGTATAGACTAAAAAGTGAAGTATAGCAAGAGAAAGGAAAGAAGGAAAGGAAAATATGGAGACAGTGAGATGTTTATTTTTTCTACTTTGAAGAAAGTTTGCTTTATTTAACATTTTGACTATGATTTAATGGTGGTTTGACTATTTCCAGTTAAAATAGCTATACAATTTCCCCTTTTATATTTATATTTATACATACATACGATAGAGAAAGATATACATACACACATATATAATTTAAAAGTCAACAAGCTAAGGTATTTGACCCTCCACATTCCACACATTTAAAGTTAATAGCAATCTTCCTCATACAGTCTGTTATAACATTTTAAGTTTGGATTTTAAATTATTTCACTCTTAATAAAAAATGCACCAAGACATCACACTGTAGCTAGCTTATGAGCTGTGCAGTGCACCATGACATAAAATTACTATGAGACCATCTGAAATTTTTTGAAAGCACTCCCCACTGAAAAAGCCCTGTTGACAATGACACATATTGGATAGTTTTAAAGTGTATCCATCAAACCACTTCAGAATTTGTTTTAAACCCAATAAATTAAAAAACAAAACTAAAATGAGAGGATGAGGATGACAGTCAAAAAATATCACACGTGGTTGTTAGAAAATAACTATATTTAAGTTGTCAATCATTCTTGCTGGCACAAAAAAGGGCAGAAAAAGCAAAACATATAAAATCAACATGGTAACCGGATATTGGCTAGGAAGCTGCACCCGTATTCCCCTTCTAGGCTTGCTGTTTCCGTCTCATGTATCACCTTCAGCGCTTTTAAGAGAAACTTTAATCCACATCTGGGCATTTACTAACGTTTCATTTTCTCACTGTCCTTCTAACTTTCCACAGTAAAGATGACTGACAGTTTTACTTAGATTGGGATTTTCTAACATTTTGAGGATTTGCTTTTTATGCCTTTTTATTTTATTTTTCAATTCTGTTTTTGCTGGCTGCACTGTGCACTTATGCATCCAAGCATAAACTAATCCCACCCATTTGGCCCCAGCCAGAGCGCTGCATTAATACCACTCTGGTGTTGGGGGGGATTGACTGGTTAAAACTACAGGGGCTTTGGGAAGGGGAAAATTAAGAGGACCCATAGTGGAAGTATATGAATTAGTGAATGTTATAGAGAGGGAAAGATGAATGTTCCTTTTTATTCCATAATACAGGAGAACAATGTTTTTAGATTAAAAGCAAAGGAACGATAGTTTGGGGATTAAGTTACTGAACTGGGATTTGGGATTTCTGAGTTCAGTCCCTGGCTCTGCCACTCACTCCATAGATGTATTACCTTGGCCAAGCCATTTGGGTGGAATTCTCGAAAGCACTCAGCATTGACCTAACTCTGCTCCCATTGAAGTCAACAGAAGACTATACGCTTTTGAGAAGTCCACCTTATTCTTGCCATGCCTCAGTTCTCCATCAGTAAAATAGGTTTAATAATACTTCTTTTCTGCCATCCTTTGAATATCTTGTCTATTTTGACTGTAAACTTTGTCCCTCATTATCTATATCTACAGTGCCTAGCACAGTGGAGCCCCATTCTTGGTTGGATTCTTCAAGTGCTACTGTAATCAAAATAATACATTAAAGAAGGGAACACATTTATTGTAAAATGGATTAACTAAATGCATTTTCTAACCTACATGTAACTAACGTGTGGAAATCAATGTGGCATGATATTGTTTTGGAAATTACTTTGAAGGTTTCAAAAAAGCATCAGCATTTACACTGACAAGGATAAAACACAGTGAAAGTCATAATTAATGGTTACGGTGAGGACATATTTTCCATAGTACAAGACTAGCTTTGATTTCCTTCTCCTCCAATAGAACTTGATGGGGAAAAAACCTCTTTTCCACCATAAAAATATTGTATATGTAGGTGCTCAAACACTTCAGTATTGTAATAGAGATCATGTAAATAAGTGAGTGCATTAACTCTTAGTGAGACCTATAACAGAACATAGTACTCTAATTTGGTAAAAACAACCATTTGTAGTTAGATGATTTATCTGTGTGTTATAAATTGAACAACAATATTACAACTTCCTAAAAGTTTCTATTTCTCATCTCTTCTCCCCAGTAACGAGAAAAAAGGGGATAGGAGGCTGCACTTAGACAAAGTTAAAGATTCCTCAAGAAATCTTTTCAGTGAATTTAAGAAGAAAAATGTTTGAGGTAACTGACCGGGGGGCAGGAGGGAAGGGTAAATGGTGTAACTGCCAATTGAATGTGCATATGCAAGACACTGAAATGGTTGCTGTTTTTTAGCAGGAGTATTGTTATTTCTTCTCATTAAAACACTTGTAAGTAGGTTACTTGCTGGTTAATGTACACTGGTGTATGACTTGTTACTCAACCAAGTTACTATAAGCTAAAAAGGTAAGAGGCCGGTGTCTTTCAAACTGACAGTTGACTAGGATGACTCTCCTTCCCTCTCAGGTTCTCTCTTACCTATTGTTCAGAAGGTCAGACATAAAACAGGAGAACACTGGATCAAATGCAAACTATTTTCCAGAAACACAGATTTTTTTTTTAGATAGATAGTGATATGACTCTAGAATCTATGTCTATCTATATGAATATTAGAAGCTAGAGTCATGTTGAAAACAAAACTGCCAGACAAAAGCTATCCTGGGAGAAGGTCAAGACTACTGATGCTCAGGAAGGAAGAGGAGCCACACTGATCCCATCCCGAAACATACCAGACGGAGGTTGCCAGGAGAGTATAAACTGAACCAGACTGGTGGACTGAGAGTTACTGCTGAAAATGGAAAGGGGTAGCTCCAGATGCAACCTGGGAGACCCCTTTAGGGTGACTGATGTGGTAATAGAAACCCTGTATTCAGAGAGATGTTATAGGGTCTTTATATGGACCGGATGGTAAGAGCTCCATAGGAGCCTAGTAATTTGAGATTTTTTATGTTTGAAGTCTAGATTCCCTAGTTTGTTTCATTGGGGATGTTTATTGTATAAAATGGTGTGATTTTCCATTAACCATCACAGTGGTGCAGCGTGTTGTTCGAGAGAGCTGCTGTAGGGGAAGTGTGCTACATGCTCATGGTACCCACAGCATTCAAAACAAAGCCAATAATTTAGGTAACATTTTCATCCTACAACGTCAGCCCCAAGAGGGCCCCATATAATATCTCTTTTTCCTTCACTCCCATGTTGAAGAAGCTTACTTTTATTCTTCACCCCGCCACTCACTTGAGTAAAAATAAAATGTTTCTTGAAGAGATACTATTGTAAATAATAGTATCCCCAGTTCACTTTCAGACAATAACTGCTTTAATACAAGAGTTTGATTCAAGCCACATGATGGGGAGTTCTGAACTGCAGGGACCCGTTCAGAGATCTACCCACTAAAGCAGCTCCCACAAGCTACTGTGTGACAATATATATCACCGATAAAACACAAAAAGGAAATATTACCTTACCACAGCAAATTTTCATTGACTGTTCAATTATCCTGAAGTTACAATACTGTTGCCCAGAAACTTCTGAGAACTAACTTTTACAGATTAACCCATTTGTTGTTGCAATATACTCCATTGGAATAACAAATATCCTATTTCTGAAATGGATTTTGTCTTTTCATCTCTGGAATCCTATTTTCACATTTTAATATTGAAGTGCAGCTGTTACATGACATGTGGGTAATTTTATCTATGGTGCATTTAGTTATTCTGCAGCTGTAAAACTGAAAAAAAAAAGCTTTTCAAGATCATGGTAATGGGGAAATCAGTGGGGTGCTGATGTCTGTATAGGTGACTAAAATATACATTGTTAAAAGAACGCTCCTTAGTTGAATTTAATCAGATCAGTTACTCGAGAGTACTCACTCCAAAACCAGATTCAGTGAGTTTACATGACAAATTACAAAACCAGCTCACTTACCGGAGAAAAAGTTCAAACCAATGAAAGTATATTGAAGAAATACGTGTAAGACTCCATCTTATACCAACTACAAGATTTTTGTACATATTACATGTTATGTACCTTTAAAAAAGGATCAGGGAAACTCTTACCTTGCATGGTTGTTTTTGTGGGTTCTGAAAATAGAGGAATGAGCAAGAGGTAGACGAGGTAGACAAAAGAGAGCCCATTGTAACGGAACACACATGCTGCAATGGAAAAAAGAGAGAGTATGTTTGTTAATCTGGCCAGTCTATCTGGGAATACTTAAACTTAAAGACAAATTGCATTTACCATGAGTTGCATATTTGACTAATGCTTATAGCTACTACACTTCTTCACATAAAAAGATAACTGTAACACTCTCTGTATTTGTTCTACGGAGTCACTAAAGGTTCTATTTAAGGAAGAAATATAGTGATTCAAAACATGCCTGCAGTATTATACATTTCATTTTAGAGGAAAGGTGGTCTTGTGGTTAAGGCAGAAGACAGAGTCAGGAGACCTGTGTTCATTTCCCAGATGCACCACAAACTTCCTGTTTGACCTTGGATGAGAGTCGCTTGTTATCTGTGTGTCTCATTTTCCTCATCTATAAAATTGGGATAATGCTATCTATCTCTCAGGAGTACAGCAATACTTAAATCATGAACATCTGAGATCCTCAGGTAGAAGGCACTAAATTAATAAGTTATTATTATTACTACTACTAAGTAATGAGGAAGATATGCTAAATTCATAAAGTTATACACTGTATCCAGTGAAATTAAAAAAAAACCCTCCATTTTCCTCCTCTTCTTTTTGGTTATGCAGAATAGAATGTAACACTCTTTATTATATTATAATTATTTTATTTTATTTTTAACCACTCAAAATTCTGAAACCAAAACTTAACAGTTAGTGTTTATCTTTTAAAAAGCACTCTGCTCATTCCAGAATTCTTCTTAAGACCAAAGGTAAACACCATATGGTAAAACTGAACAAAAGATCCTGTAGTGAGAAAAAAAAACTGTGAAACCCCCATGTAAGATCTTCATGCCAGTGATATTTTAAAATCTCATGCTGATAACATAAATACAAGGTGTTTTGCAAAGGAGGCAGTTCATTAATGTCTTTCAGTGTTGCTTTTTCTTTTTTCATATGTTTAGCATTACTGTACTTTCACTGAATTGGATACTTTCAGGAGACATTTGTTCTAGAAGCAATAGCATTAAAGACAGTATTTGCAACTTCAGAGTTGTACATGCAGACTATGCTGCAAGTCAAGCATATGGACTTCTTTATTAAAAACTCAGCAGGATGTAATCCAACTGCATGGCAGATGTTAAAACATTATGAGACCTACCACATTCAGCTTTTCCTATGAGATAAGCCAAATACTGAGCAGTAAGGAGCAAAAAGAAAACATTCCTATTTATTTACACCACAATCATGGAATGTAAGTAAAATCATCAAATCAATTCCCTCAACTAATTCCAAGATGACTAACTTTTGGAGGAAAGGTATTGGCTTACTCTGTCCATTCTGTTCAAATTTGTTTCCTAAATAAAAAGTTAGATTTACTAAGCCAACTTCATCCCTGGTGTATCATCATAATCTTGACTAGGGCTATACCAAGAATGAATTTGGCCTACACTCTGCATGTAATCAACATACTTCGATCTAGCCTGTTCTGATCACCATAACTTCTGTCCCACCCTACTTATAAATGGTACAATAAAGAAAAGTTTGGTTATTAAAGAACCAAAGTTATACAGTAGTTGTAATTTATGATTGCAAAACTGACTAGTGTTTTGTACAACATCAATTGCTGTGTGACTAATTTCTAAACTGACAGAGATTACTCTGATGTAAAAACTATATGGGTCTTCTGTTTTCTACAGCTGCAGAATTTACCTGTGAAGCCTCTGTGACCTTCAGGAGTAGCCTCAACTAGGACTGCTAGCAAGGAACTCCCAAGTTCTGTTTCCAGACTACATTAATTCTGTCTGTTACCAATCAACATCTCAATAAAGCCTACATTTTCAAAAAGCATCCACTAATTTTAGGTGCCCAACTTGAGATTTCTAGGGCCTGATTTTCAGAGCTGATTATTCCCAACAACTCCAGCTGTAATCAATGGGAGCCAAAAGGGAGTGTACCAGTCCTCTGAAAGTCAGGATCCAATTATCTTAAATTTGGAACAATTTATGCATATCTGCAAAATGGTATAATGCTTAGAACACAGGTCTGTTGTAAGAGCTGATATTCGTACATGGAGGAAAGTCATAATCTCTTAGGTATGTTCAACTGGAATGAGGAGTTAAAGCTGCCTGTTGAGCTATAAAACTGGGCCAAAATTGTCACAAAAAGTCTTTTTTCATTAAAATTCTTAGAAAAATAATTACAATTTTGAAATATTTTAACCAATTAACTATCTTGCCTGCAGGTGCCACCACAAAACAAAAATAACTAATAATTATATAGAAATATGTTTGCCAATTTTTTCTAGCATTTAATATTTTAGTGGCTTAATTATGTTTTGCTGTACTACATCTTGCACCAGATGCTGTATAAAGGCATTTAGTTATTGTCTAACTACGCAATCTTGTAGCTCTTAATCACATGAATAGTCCCACTAATTTCACTATATTAGTATATTAATATCCTCCTTCTGAACAGACTACAGAGCAGGGCTGCCTCTTTTTTATGTTTGTACAGTGTCTAGCACTATCAGGTCAGGGCCTCTAGGATCTCTCATAACAATAAAAACAACAGGTTTCACAGCTTAGTCTTGTCTACCAAAGCTTTCACCAATGTGCTGTTGTAACTTACATGGCAGGCATTGCCTTAAACATTTAGAACCTTCATTTAAATCCAAGCCCATTCCAGCAAGTTGTTAAATATTATTATTATTAAATAAAATATTATTTAGTTTCCTGGCGGACCTATGTTAATTTTAATGTTACCAGAACACTAGAAATACATCTGTAAGAAACAACTTCATTGCTAAGTCTTAAAAAAAATAATTCAATCCATTCACTGTTTTTATCTCTTATTGTTTAATCTCCATTCATTCAGTATATTTTTACAGAAGAGATTAATGTGCTATAAAAGCAAGTCTGTTGGAGCAAAAGCCTACGGTCCCACACATTTTTAGTGAGATAAGAGATCATTAAGGAACAACTGCAGTGTATTTACTCTTCAACATAAAATTATTTGTAGAATTTACAGATTCTTATGGTCCAGCCCTGAGAACCAGTGAGCAGTAGTAACCACCACTGAAATCAGCAGCAGGCTCATACAGGGCACGTTTTCACTGCACAGTTAATGCAGGTGTCATTGGCACCCATGTCTGAGTATCCAGATTCACCTAACCCAGGTGTGAGTGTTCCCACAGCAAAGCTCTACCTGTGTTACTGCGTCCGCTCTATATCTACACTGCAGCTGAGAGTAGGGTGACCAGATGTCCCGATTTTATAGGGACAGTCCCGATATTTGGGCCTTTTTCTTATATAGGCTCCTATTACCCCCCACCCACCATCCTGATTTCTCACACTTTCTATCTGGTCAGCCTAGCTGAGAACAAGCTTCCCGTCCCAGGCAGACAGACGTGCTAGCGAGGCTTGAGCTAGCGTGCTAAAAATAGCAGTGTGGATGCTATGGCTTGGACTGCAGCTCGGGATCTCAAGCCCATCCAACCCGCTAGCCAAGCTCCAGACTGATCTGTAATGTCCTCACTGCTATTTGGAGTGCGCTAGCATGAGGCTCACTCCCAGCAGCAGTGTATACACGCTCCCCCGTTTCTGCACGTGCCAGTGTGTTTCTGGGGCATGGTTCTGAGATGCTCTAAGATTCTCTCCTTGTCTATCCAATGGTAATTGCGAGAAGGGCATTGGAGGACTATCAGCACTCAAAAAATGTAGCCTGCATTCTCACAGCTCAAGTTACAGCAGAAGCCGGGCTCTAATCCATTCCCCCAGGGTAAACCAGCCTAGGCTAAAAGCACCTATCAACCTGGGTCAGAAGTTTTCTGTGTGGACGGTAGGGAGCTTGGGTTAAAACCCGAGCAAGAACCTGTGTTAATTGTGCAGTGAAGAAATACCTATAGTAACAAAGGATACACTGTGATGCACTGAATGCAATTAAACCCATCCTCTATAATTCTGAGTTAGCAGTTATAAGCGCTGATCCTGCAAAGAAATTCATGTAAGCAGAATTTTACTCCTGCACAGAGAAGCCAACACAAGAATAAGGCTGCACGCATGAATAACTTCGCAGATCAGACCCATAACAGTCAGTATTTTCCATATTATATATATATATATATATATATATATATATATATATATATATATATATATATATATATATATATATATATA